AATAAAACCAAGAATCGATAAGTGGGATGGTATCAAGTTAAAAAGCTTCTGCACAGCATAGAAAACAATTAAAAGCATGAAGAGAGAGCCCACGGAATAGGAGCCAGCTGCTCCTCCAACAGGGAATTAATATGCAGAATATATAAAGAATTCAAAAAAACTTACCACACAACAACAACAAAATCCCCAAATAATCACATTATAATAGGCAAAGGAACTAAACAAACATTTCTCATAAGAGGAAATACGAATAGCCAGCAAATATCTGAAAAAATGTTCAACATCCCTAGCAATCAGGGAAATGCCAATCAAAATTACATTGAGATTTCATCTCACTCGAGTTAGAATGGCAGTCATCAAGAATGCAAATTTAAAAAAAAAAAAGAATGCAAATTTTTTTTTAATGTATCTGTACATTGCCTTCAGTCTGCTTCTCTGGAGAGCCTGACAATGCAAATCTTCTACTTTGTCTGTGTCCTCCAAAGCATGTAGTACTTGGGCAGTAAACAATACTGCAGCCAGAAAAACTTGGGTGCAAGACCCTACTTGGAGAGACCACATACATTTTCTTTCTTTTTTTAGAGCTTTATAGTTATCCATAGTAGTTGAGTTCATCCTGACAGACTCATACAGGCATGGAAATCGATTTCAGTTCACGATCCCACCTTTTTCTTCTCCTATTCTCCCTCCCCTCTCCCGTTCTCCCTCCTCTCTCCCGTTCTCCCTCCTCTCTCCCATTCTCCTAAGTCAAACAACAAGTAAATTGTGGAGCTGTGATCCAAACCTATGCAGCCTGGATCCAGAGTCTAAGCTCTTAACAGATACAGCAGGCTAAATGGAGTGACATCAAAACAAACATAAAGATCAATGGAATAGAAGACACAGAGAAAACCCCACAGAGATGCAATCATCTATAGTTATACACAGTAATATAACTCTATAGACTTCCTTTTACTCAGCTGTTGATTTGTATTTGGTTCTTTATGTTATCCTATTCTTCCCTCCCCCTTTCCTTATTTTTACTCTAACTTTATGAAAGAAAATATTTGGCCTTTGAGTTTCTGAGTTTGGCTAATGTCACTTAGCATGATATTCTCCATTTTAGTCTATTTGCTGGCAAATGTCATAATTTCACTCTTTTTTTATGGCTAAGTAGAATTCCATTGTGGGTGTGTGTACATATATGCCAATATATATATATTATATATATGTGTGTGTCATATATATGACAATTTCTCAATCCATTCATCTATTAACAGGCATCTGGGTTGATTCCATTATTTAGCTACTGTGAATTGTGCTACCATAAATATTGACCACACAGTTTCTATTCAATTTACAGGAAGTTTCCAGAAGAGGCAATTCTATAAGACAGGAATTAGACTAGTGGTTGCCAATAGCTGGGAGAGTGGGAATGGGGAGTAACTGGGAGTACAGGATATGGGTTTCTTTGGGGGTGATAAAAGGTTCTAAACTTGGTTTGCATGATTGCATAACTCTTTAAATATACTAAAAACCACTGAATTTTACACTTTAAAGGATGAGCTGTGGAGTAGGTGAAGTATATCTCAACAATTCTGTACTAGCAAAGAAGACCCTTTTTTTAAAAAAAAAAATAAATGACCACAGTTGTTTTTAAAAAATCTTTATTTCACTCATTTATTTTTTTTATGTGGTGCTGAGGATTGAACCCAGTGCCTCATACACACTAGGGAAGTGCTCTACCAGTGAGCCATGACCCCAGCCCCCTTTTGTTTTTTATTTGTAGCTTCTGTACCTGTAAAATGGGCCTTGCACCATCTACATCGCATTAAATGAAGTGCTATGCAGAAAGCAATTTCCACACCACATTGCACATAATAAAAGCTCAAAAAGCGGTGACTGTCTTATTATAATAAGTTCATTAAACATTTGTCAGCTGGTTCCTACACTTTTAAGGTCAAATGGAATTACTAAAAAGCTAAATGTTAAAGTAGAAATGGTGCTTCAAAATCAATCTAGTTCTACCCTCTGATTCTGCAAATGAGAAACCAGTGATATACCAGAAAATCACCACTGGCAAGAGAGGCTTGAGGGAGGCTATGAGAGATCCAGTGAGCTCCATAGTAAGCCCCATAGAGCTTACAGTGTAAGCCAGTGAGCCACACTGCTTCATCACAGGTGCTTCTGAGGCAGCAGCACAGATCTGGGCTTGGTCCTTTGCAGGAAGAGCAATTACATAATTCATTTCCCCGTTAGAGAAATCTGTGTGTGTTCACTAGAGTTGCAAAGGAAATAACTTGATATGGTTTATAATTTTAAAACTTCTATTAAAATTCTCTAAGTGGATTTAAGAAAGTAATATAACAGTTACTTTCCTAAATCTTAGAAATTATGAAAATATTAAAACAGCTCCAAACCACCTACATGAGTTGTTTTTTTTTTTTTTAATTCTATCTTTCTTTCTCTCTACATACACATGCACATGCACAAGTAATTCTAAGGAGTGCAACAGTTTTTTGTTTTTGTTTTTTACAATTTAACATCTGTGACCAGGACACAGCTTATATTCAATGACTTGTTCAAATTTAATTGGCACAATTATTTTAGTCTTACACAAAATAATAGTAAAAAAAATGTCTTTACTAAGCATCTTTAATATTTTATTTGTGGAGGACAAATAAAATATAGTATTAATGGATCTTTATCTATAGCTCTATAGATATATGAGATGAAGTATAAATTCGTGCTGGGAATGCCTTTCCACTCAGGAATACTAAAGCCATTATTGCTGATTTTAGTGTCAAAAAGCACAGAGTTAGCCCCACATGGTGGTGGACACCTGTAATCCCAGCAGCTCAGGAGGCTGAGACAGCTGATTGTGTGTTCAAAGCCAGCCTCAGCAAAAGTGAGGCACTAAGCAATTCAGTGAGACTCTGTCTCTAAATAAAATATACAAAAGGGCTGGGGATGTGGCTCAGTGGTCAAGTGCCCCTGAATTCAGTCCCCATTAAAAAAAAAAAAAGCACCTCTACTAGAGCACTATTCTCTGCGTGTGGATAGAATATGCATCCTTGAACCTGGGTCCCATTAACAGGTACTCTGGCCTAGTACATCACTAATCATAATTCCAGAGAAAAGTATGAATTCACTTTTGGATAGTCCTGCATCCTTTGAGGAACATGTCCCCAGACACATTTCTATCAGGAGCTTACTGAGATATCATATGTCCCAGTGTTTTGCACTTGGAATGGATGTTGAATATTCATTTACTCTGTTAGAAAATGCTGTAGAAGCCAGAGGATTGGAAGATGTTCCCATCGCAATCAGCAATGCCTTCTCTAACAGCCTTGTTTAATTAAAGAGTGTAAGAATTTCTGCACTAAGAGACCTAATACCTTTATCTCTCAGTATCTGTGGAGGGTTGGTTCCAGGACCTCCCCACAGGCACCAAAATCCACAGATGCTGAAGTCCCTTATATAAAATGGCGTAGTGTTTGCCTATAGCTTATGCAATCCCCCTGTATACTTTAGATCATTTCTAGGTTATTTATAATAATCAACACCTTGTACATATTATGTAAACAGTTATGTTGTATATGGACTTATAACAAAAAGGTCTGTACATGTTTAGTACAGACACAGTATTTTGGAATTTTTGATCTGTCATTGGTGGAATCTGGGTTTGGTCAAGTCCATGGGTGCAGAGGGCTGACCAAACTTGATGTGATTGGAAGGTCCCTAATGGATGTGCCCAAGGGCATGATGCAAACTTATCCCATCATAATAATTGTTCACATGCTGCGGAAGATGGTTAATCAGGTTCTGGAAATCTTCCTTCTTGGTGCATTCAATTCTAAAGTCCTCCTTTTCTCAGCATGTGCCTGCAAATACAATCCCCTGCAGTGATAAAGAAAGAAAATAAATGCTGGCAGTATTGTCAGTCTGGTCTTTTGAACTCCTTTGGAGTTGCCATGGAAGTGGGCATCGGAGTGGAGAGACTTGTTTTCTTCTCCACTTGAGCAATGAGGTTTTCATCATTTGCTGGTTGTTTGGAACCTTTAGAATAATGTCCCCAGGCACGTTTCCATTAGGAGCTTCCTGGGGGCTGCGATACACAGGGAGATCTCCATGTGGCTTTGCCCCGTGAGCCTCTGCTACCAAATCAAGTGAAGCAGGATACACAACACAAAAGCAAGTGTACTGGTGAAGATCTCTTTAGGATCATCCCAGAGTTTTAATTTCTAAGATGGGAAGGAGTGCAGAACTGAGAGTCTCCTAAAAATCCAATTTTCTGGTTGGGAAGCTGAGGCAGTCAACGAGGTGATCTGTTGAGGGGCGTGGGAATGCCTAGAAGGCCCTTCCTACTCATGCATTTGCCAAATTCTTACTGTAAGCCCACATTCTTCTAGGCCTGGAGGATGTAGCAGTCGACAAAACAGATAAAATCTTTATCCACATGGACCTTCCCTTCTGGAAAATGGAGACAATGAGCAAATAAATAAATAAATAAATAAATAAATAAATAAATAAATCACACCAGGTACTGAGAGGTGGTAAATGCTGTGAAAATATAACATGTGGGAGAAGGAGTGTCCAGATGAGGCTAGAGGCTGCTGCTCTAGCAGGTGGAAGCCTCTCTGGTGAGGTTCAAGGACATCATGGTGGAGTGTGCCCAGCAGAGAGAAGAGCAAGTTCAATGGCCTTAATGTAATGACGTCTGTGGTGGTACCTGTGGCTGGTGCACATGGAGCTGAGGGAATGCTACCAATCAGGGAGGGCTTCTGTTTTTTTTTTTTAATATTTGTTTTAGCTGTAGGTGGACACAATAACCTTCATTTGATTTTTATGTGGTGCTGAGAATCGAACCCAGTGCCTCCCGCATGCTAAGCAAGCACTCCACCGCTGAGCCACAACCCCAGCCCCTCTGGGGCCTTTTTAAGGCTTTGGTTTTCCTCTGAGATGGAAGGCTTTGGAGGAGTTGGAGCAGAAGAGAGATGTGACATTTTTTTTTTTTCCAGGAGTTCTCTGATTGCTGGGTGAAGAACAGGCATGTCAGGAGGCAAGCTTGAAATCAGGGAGACGAGGATCTACCACGGTGGGTACGGAGGATGGTGGCAGAGGCTGTGGGGATTTTCTCGCTCTGGATGTGTTTTGAAGGTAGAGCAAGTAGAAAGAGCTGATGGGTTGACTATCAGAGGCAGCAGAAAGGATTGGAGGGCTATTCAAGGACTGCATCTGCACAAGCAAAAGAAAGGAGTTGTCACACACTGAGCCAGGGTGAAGCTGTTTCTTTGGGGAAAAAATCAGTTTTGCATTTGTTAAGTCTGAGGTGTTCTCGGATACCCAAGGGGAGATCTGGGTAGGCGGCTGTGGGTCTGGGTTCAGGGGAGAAGGTTGAGCTAGAGGCAAAGCTGAGAATCATCAGCCTCTAACTGGTATTAAAAGGACTGAATGGAACTGTAAATGTGTAAGTAGAGACAAGAGTCAAGGAAGAGTCCTGGGAACGTGGCCAGCACTCACCCAGAACAGGTGGATCAGCTCGGCCTTACACTGCCTTAATGATGGAGAGTCAGGCAGAGACCAGACAGGCTTTCCATCTCCTGGGGACTTTCCTGGAGAGGTCACAAGAAAGTGAGGTCCTCTCCTGGCTGGCAGATGTTTGTTTATTGTCATTTCTCCTAGCTGGCGACCTATGCTGGGTTCACAAATCTGACTATTCTAATAACTTAAGAAGACAATGAAGAAAGCATGCAGACACACACAGAATTACCTTTTCAAAATCTGGGATGGCTCTTTGACCTTAGGGGTCCATGGAAAGAAAGAGCCACTGGAATTCTTTATTCTTATATAGGGGACACACAAAGGGAGATTCCATGGAACATTCTATCCCTGAAAAACCAGCCTCTATCTCAGAGCAAAGCCTGTCCAAGAAAGGGACATGACCTTTGTCCATGGAAAAACCCATAGAGCACTCCTAGGCACATTCCCACCCTGCTAAGTTGTTTATCTACAAATAACAGAGAGATCTGCTGCCCCAGGTGTCCCTGACTCAGTCACGCTAGGTGGGGACCCATAGCAACCCCCTAGCAGCCACCAATCGGCATGAGACAGGGAAATACCTGGGATGCCAGATGACCCTCTCAGTAGTTTATGGTGGTTGATAACATGTTGGGAAACCATGTAGTTCAGCACGTACACCCCTCTTGGCTTAAA